AATATGTAGCCTCACAAAACAAGAAAAGGAAGGTGAGGAGTTTAGATTATTAAAACCAATGACGTTGATCAACCTGCTTTCCTGAAGCTCGGGATGTTTGCTCATGTTCCTGAATGGCTTCTTCCACACGCTGCACAGCAGCTCTGGCATTTTCAATTTCAGAGCGGGCAATAGATCTTTCCTCCTCAACAAGCCTTTTTGCTTCTTCAGACGCCTAATTGATATGCAACAAAATAGCAGTGATGATGAACTATAAGCACATAAGCGTAATCATGAACTTTAAGCTTATTAGCCTGTTAATAGATCTTTTCTCCTCAACAAGCCTTTTTGCCTCTTCTACTTAATTATGCATGATGAGTAAGAAAAAGTGAAACTCAAGTTTGCTCAGAAAAAGAAATAAAAGCATACCTGCTTCAAAAAGTGTGCTAGCCTTTTCACCTCCTCCTTTTCATGAAGCAATTCTCCTTCCCTTTTGGCTAACTGAACAGCTAAAGCCTCAACCTGGGTTAACATAAAGGGTCAGTTATACATAGGTTCAGTTATATGTAACATATGATACCAACTGATCATTATACTCTAGAATCTAGGTGTAGGTTGACTGGTAAATTCATTTAATGTAACAAAAACATATTATTACAGAGTTGCTGGATCTACTCACCACCACTCAGGCATTGACATACACCAACTCTAAATTAATTTTTAGTTACTAGACTTACTACCCAACAAACACTCAAAATATCACAAAAGAATTCTTAGGCGTCTTGGCTTAACAGCATCATAGGAGCTTACTAAAAGGAGGTCTGCTGTTTGGTCCTTATTCTCCCTCACTTGTGGTGCAAAATTATTACCAGTAACAATCATTTAAGGTATGGTAGTTGGAACTTGGAATTTAGGGAGTTTAATACAGCAAAGTGTATTAACAATACATACAGAAGGTGGCTGATGATGCATATAGCAACAACCAATAAAAAAAACCTTACAACTTTCCTCATTCACTAACCCATATCTAAGTGATTTCTTACAATAACTTACAGGAACTCAGTGAGCCCTTGACCAGCAAAGGCTCACAACAGATCAGATAAGCCTAAATGTAGCATACATTAGAGTTTTTAGTGATGTAGATCTACCCCAAAACTATTTCATATTCTTACCAAAAAGCATGCTATCTATGAACAAATTACTTCTGCTTTGCAATCTAGTGGTCTAGCCTTTCTTTAGTCAATCATTTCATCCTCCTAAGACTCAGTCACCTCTATTTACTGAGATACTGGAAAATGACTAGTATGTAGACCAGTTTTCTTGAAGTCTTTAGGAAAATAGTTCAACAGCACCATAAAAAGAAATTACCATACAATTTTAGGTTAGTAGATTATAAATCCTTATTACTTTGCCTAGTTATTTTCCAAGGATTGGTAATTATGTGAAGTTTTGTACTTTGGTTGATTGTGTTGTTAATTGAGAATATTTCTAGAAATGCAAGAGCTTCATAGGAGCAGGATATTAATCTGTCTCTATTATGTAACATCAATTATATACTGAAACAAGAAAATATATTCACTAGAATAACACAGCCAAAATGAAAAGAAATTACCATACAATTTTAGGTTAGTAGATTATAAATCCTTATTACTTTGCATAGTTATTTTCCAAGGATTGGTAATTATGTGAAGTTTTGTACTTAGGTTAATTGTGTTGTTAATTGAGAATATTTCTAGAAATGCAAGAGCTTCATAGGAGCAGGATATTAATCTGTCTCTATTATGTAACATCAATTATATACTGAAACAAGAAAATATATTCACTAGAATAACACAGCCAAAATGAAAAGATTGGGGGGAGGGGGGTGGGAACAGGCATTGGGGTCTTGTTAGATCAGACTTACCATGCAAATGGCTTGTTCTACATCTCCCTTGTTTTTACCAGTCACACGACCTCTTAAGGATTCCAAGGCATCTCTAAGGTTCCTCAAAAGAACATGTTTCTCCAAAGAAGCAGCTTCCTTGAGTTTATCCTGTATTCCAATAGCATTATTTAGGTCCATGTTGACATTATAGATTATAATCTATAAGAAAGTTCACTTCTGTGTTGTTTCAAAGGTATATTAGATCGAAAATCTTTAGATTAAAAACATTGGATATGTCAAACACTATCGGCAGAGATTATAATATCTACAAATATTTAACCACACATGGAGAGTATGACAACAAGCAAATTAAAAACAGCTGATGATAACACACACTAAAGTTACTAGAACTGGTAAGCACGAAAGTATGTAAGCGAAGCTATAAATGAAAAACCTCTTCTGACAACTTAGCAGCAGCTGCCAATCCCTTCTCGAATTTGTGGGCAAGATCACGAACTGAAAGGCGTTTTTGCTGTTCCAGTAACATTGCAGTCTCTCGGGCAACAATCTCCTTCATTGATACCTTTTGCTCATCTTTGACCTCCAAAACCTGATTATCAGACCCTATCCTGTAATTAGGAAACCGACTTGAAAGGAATGTCACGTCCGCTGAAACAGCCGGGACATTCTCCTTTTGCATTGTTGCAAATTCACGAGTCAACCTCGTCATGGTGCCGGATTCCAACAATTCTGATGTTCATCAAGCACAAAACAATATCAAAATCAACATGAAACTGCACGAAAACCCTCTCAACAAACCCATTACTGGAATCTAAATCTATTACTACAAAGACTTCCCAACCTAGTGCTCTCAAAATGTGGGTCAGTGCTCAGTTCACCAAACTGAAACCCTAAAGTTAAAGATAACCACCTAAACATCACTTGATTTACCTTTTACCTCCCCCAATTCCTTCCCTTTCTTTTCTCAAATTGAAGGGAGAAAACCCAATTCAAAAGAGCTCCAAATACATGAATCACAAACTAATACAGTTGCATAAATCACATCTAAAGCATTCCAAATAAACCCCAACTGTAGAAATTCAGGCAAAATGTATACAAATATCAAGTCAAGCTTTACAATTCTACATAAAGTTGTTACATTTCTTAATTAATGTAAGACAACCAACTTAAGCCCTAATTAAATTACTTTTCTTGTAAAAAAAAACAGCATAATTTCAACAAAACACCAAAATCATACAAAAAAGTGGGGATTTTGAAACTTACAGATCATGAGAATGCAGAAGAAAAAATGGGTTTTTCTGGGTTTTGGAGATTCTTCCACCAAGTCAAAATTCAAGCAGGTATATTCAAGCTCAAATAAATTACACCCAATAAAAATCAAATAATTTAAGAGATAGAGAGAGAAAGGGATGAAGAAGAAGAGGGTTTGAAGGGGTGTGAAAGAAAAAGATGTTTGCTTTTTGAAAAAAGGGCAAAAGCAATTGGCCGCTCTCAGCTCACACAACCTTCTTCTCCTTGTTTTACTACCCCCACACTTTCTCTCTCTATACTTTCTCTCTCTTAAAAAATTAAAACTTTACTTCGTATTTGTTTATCTGAGAAAATCTGTCTGAGTAAAATGCTTCAAACTTCAAAAATTCCATGAAAGAGGGGCCCACATCACTTGTTTCTTGTTGCTGATGTTCATCTCACAAACTCAATTTAGTTAATTAATTACTTTTTCTTTTTTTTTATAATTAATCACTGTTTAATTTATGATAAGATAAGATTAATTAAACTTGATTTGGGGGTGATTAGGTACAAATCTAAGACTAATTTGCCCTTATTCAACAGTTGACCAGCTGGTGTAAATGGGGCTTTTATGAAGAAAAAAGAATGTCTTGAAATGTGAAATAAGGAAGTTTAATTGTTTGTCCTTTTCTATATTCACATTCAGTTGTTGGTTGAAAATTCAATAAACTGTTATTATTTCACTTCCAATTTACAACTGGTTACATACTTGTATTTTTTTTCTAGAACTTTTTAAATTTTATCATTCAAATTTTGCAAAGTTTGGTGGTAACAGATTGTCATTTTCACAATGTCACTTGAAATGGTATTTAATTGGAGTAGTTGTACCATGCAATTTGAAATAATTAGTGGGATGACTTTTTCCAGTGGTTTTTCCCATCAATTATTTGTTCCCTTTCTGTTTACTTTTTTTTTCCCGTTTGAAAATTTTAAACACAAGCTGTGATTTTTGGAAGCTACTACGTGAAATTCCCATCTTGGAAAAATACTACTCCAATCAAATTATGGACTACGGAGTATATCATTAGAAATGTAAGTAATTTGTGAGTAGTTAATAAGGATATAGATAGGTCTAAATGACATCCTTGTGGTTCTCTAAACAGTATAAAAAAGGGAGATAGTAAGATTGTAAGTCCAATAGGATAAAATCCGAGCTAATATGTTAAATGTTAAAATAATACGTGAATATACAACAAGAGCTAAATTCAAATAAAGAAAATAGTATGTAGTTTTGTGAAAACTTAAGTTGAGTTAACAACATATATTTATGTCTAATTAACCCTTTAAAATATAAGAAATAAAAAGACTGATTTGGCAAGGATTATGTCATCTTTGTATTGATAAAAATTGCCAAAATTGTGCCCAAACCTGCTAGTGCATATCAAGGCGATCGTTAGGTTGAGCCCGGCGAGTTGGGCTAGGCTGAACATGACCAACTATGAAAGTATGAGATAATGGTACTTGCTTACCTTTACAGGTAAAGTCAACCTAGCTTTGCATATGTAGGTTGAGAGTAGAGGGGGAGGTAATAAAATCCCCCTACTCTCAAGCATATGTAGTTGGTGGAATTTGTACTTATGACCTCTAAGTCAAATTGTGAGTTTTCCACTAACTCCACCAAGCATGCTTGGTTTACAATACTTGCTTACTTTACTACTTGAGGGTGAGAATTCATAACTCTACTTCGTATACTACTACTCTCAAGTATTTTACTCGTATTTCCTAAATACTAGACCACAAAATCGTGAGATTTATTGTCTAATCATGTATCAAACTTAGGAGTTGAAAATTTTGAACCACAAATCTAAATCTAAATCCGATGCAGATTCGACCCGGAGATTTAGATTTAGTCCTATCATGGGTCGACTCTGAATCGGATTTAATTCTATCATGGGTCGGATCTGTATCGGACTTTTGCCACTAATCTAAATCCCATCACATAACAATTTCAACACAAGCCCAACCCAATTTTGCCCAAAAAAATCACTCGCCAATTTCTCTCTCTCTCTCTCTCTCTCTCTCATCCCATCTTCCATCTTCTTCTTCAATGGCACCTCCCAAAAAACAATACCTAACTCTTCTTCTTCTCCTCTCTCTCTTCGCTCTCTTCATCTTCTCTCACTACTTTCTCTCTCCTCCTCCTTCTCCTTCTCTCTCAACCCCATCAACCCACTTTCTCCCTCCTCAAAAACCCTCTTCTCCCTTCACCTTCACCATCAAACTCCTAGCATACAACCGGCTCTCCTCCCTTTCTCGCTGCCTCCACTCTCTCTCCTCTTCCCACTACTATGGCGACACCGTTGATCTCCACATCTTCATTGACCACTTCCCCAATTCATCTTCCTCTGATTTGGGCCGGAATCTTGAAAATTCCCATGAAATCTTGGATTTTGTTGATGGGTTTAAGTGGGTTTTTGGGAAGAAGTTGATCCATTATAGGACTGTCAATGTGGGCTTGCAGGCCCAGTGGTTGGAAGCTTGGTGGCCTTCTCATGATGATGAGTTTGTGTTTGTTGTTGAAGATGATTTGGAGGTTTCCCCTCTTTATTATAAGTTAATTAAGGGTTTAATCTTGAATTATTACTATAATCAATCCAATTTTAGCCCTTCGATCTTTGGTGCTTCACTTCAGCGTCCAAGGTTTGTCCCAGGTACCTCCTACTTTGTTATTGATCAATTTTGTTTGATTTTTTTGGATTTGTTTGGCATTTTATTGGTACATTGTAGTGAATTATGTGAATGAAGTAGTATGATTGGATATGTATAACTGGTGGATATTTTGCTTATGTATAATGAAATGGTACTTGAGTTCAAATTTTGCTAATTTTTGGATTGATTCTTGTATGAAATATTGTGGATTTGTTCAAATGAATGAGAGTTGGCTACAATTGGTTTGGACATTATATGTGTTAATCAGCTGAAATATGTTCGAGCTACGAGTGGCTGATGTTTAGGTATTGGGTGTTTGGCTGTGTATATTTGAACCTCCTTAGGAGTTAGGACTGATCTTGGTGGAATTGAGAGTTTTAGACGGATATCGGGTGTTGGACTCTGAATTAGGAGTACAAACTGTAGAGTGGAGGCTAGTAGTAAAGGGATTATAATGTTTAGAGACTTATTATGCCTGAATGGCTATAGTGGAATTGATGAATCCCTTCTGTATTTTTTATTGAAGCAACTGGGTTGCAGATTAAGGCGACAAATCGAGTTATTCTATTTAGTAAGAATTCAAATCAGTTGTGCTTTAGTGAAGTTTTTCTCCTTTAGTGAAGCTTCAAAAGTTATCTTCGTAATGGAGATTTTATTAAATATCATTGGAGCATCGATAGTAATATATTTATAGGTCTGGCACTCTTGCTTCAGGTTCTTAGAAGTTGTTGCATCAAAGGATGTCAGTTTGTTGATCTGCTTCATTATTATTTGTCAGCGAGAGAAAATAAGCTTCTTTGAGGGATTAAGAATGGTGTTTATTCTTTGTTTTCCTGCATTGTAGAAATAGACCTAGAGGTTTTGTTTTGGGCTCCCTAGGTTGAGTGGCAGAACCTCTGCCGTATTGTGGTGATGGTGGCTGTTTGATTTATTAGAAAAAGAAGCAATTTTTTTAAGCAAGAAGAAAGTGAAATTGGCAGCTTCAAAGGTTGGTAGATTGTATATTAGGGATGCTTTACTCCATTGAAATGAAATAATTATGCACTCATACTACTACTACTACTACTTTGGAATCCCGGGAAAAAATGTCTCATTTCCTAATCACATTTCTTAATTTGGTAATGGGTATGGTTAGATTTCATAGATTGTCACTGCTTAAAGTAAATGATGGGGAGATGATATAAATGACCTGACTATTATGCAAGTTGTTTCATTAACTGATTACGAGGTATTGAGACAATGTGATAACTTATTTCGGATGTGGAGGGTAGTAGATAAGGGGTAGGATTATTGTGGGGAAGATGGTCTGCTTGCAATATTGTTTACATAGTGTGTCCTGGAACTAGCTGGAAGTCACAGTCGACGGATTACTGTTACTGATTTGTTTAGGGGTTATTGATGACTTGCGTTCAGGAATCTTAGCGACACTGAGAAGTTAAACAAGAAGGATTGTTGATGCATGCTGCCATATATACAGAGTGCAAATAGTTCTTTAGTGGTTGTGAATTAAATTTATTTGTATAATCTACAGATATCACATATCATAGAAGTGGCTGGCCTGGTACTCGAATACTTCCAATTTCATCTAATTACTTCAAGGAATCGCATTGATGTTTTTTGGTGCCAACTTCATGCATGGAAGTCTACTCCTTTTATCATTATACATAGTTCCTAACTTTCTCAATGCAATTCATTAGAGGCTGGTCCTTTATACACACTTCTTGCTCCATGCGATCTTGGTGATAGAACATTATCTGTGTATTCTCTTGTTTTTGTTAGCGTAAATTGATCATGGATAAGAGTGTGAATACATTGTTGCCTTGTTGGTGTCCAAGCCTCTTTTACCCTGTTACCATCAGTAGTCTCATATCATTACTTCATGCACTGTTTATTATATTCAGGTAAGCATGGGAACAAAATAAAGTTGGACAGTGAAACCAGGTTCTTCCTTTACCCGTTGGTCGGAACCTGGGGTCAGCTTCTCTTTCCAAGACCCTGGAAGGAGTTCCGCCTTTGGTATGATGACCATAAGGCCAAAGGCATCAAGCCTGTTCTTGATGGAATGGTATTTGACTCTCCATCAGTCCCTTGATCCACCTTGTTCTTTATCCTAAGGGACCATTGAATTCATGCCATTGTAACATTGATCTGAAGTCAACTTTATCTGTTTATATGCAGGTGACAACAGGTTGGTACAAAAAATTGGGTGAGAAAATATGGACCCCATGGTTCATTAAATTCATTCATTCACGTGGCTACTTCAACATCTACACAAATTTTCTTTATGAAAGGGCTCTCAGCGTCTCTCACAGAGATCCTGGTGTTAACTATGGGAAGACAGCCGGGCCAGATTCACAACTGTTGGATGAAAGTTCCCATGATATCAATCTTCTGGACATGCAATCTTTGAGTGATCTACAATGGTATGATTTCTGCTTCAGAAGAGTACTTCCTGGAAGAGTTGCAAAGAAACTCAGTGAAGTTAGCCAAATTCTTCATACCATGGAGAAACAAAAACCTGTCTTGTTGGTCAGCGTGTTGAAATCTTCAGAGACAATTGTAAAGAATTTGATATGCCATTTTGAAAGGCTTAATATTCAGAACTACATTTTTATGGTCCCAAACTCTGAATCAGTCTCGCTGCATGATCTGCCAAGAAGGGGGCATCCTGTGATTGTTACAGAGGATGTATTTGACAGCATCACAAGAAGTAAGAAATCTAGTTCTATATTGATCAAGGAGACAGTGATAAAAGCTTATGTGATCAAAAAATGTTTGGAAGCTGGGTTTGATAATTGGGTTATTGCTTCCAACATGCTTCCACTCATCAGTAACCCACCATTCGATTTCACTGACAGCAGCTTCTATGTTGGTAAGGATTCAAGACTCTTGGTTGTCAGGAGTTCATCATCTTCTCGGGAAGTTTGGGATGAAAGATTTGTGCAGAAATTTGCTGCTACTGTGGAGACGCTGATTAGACAAGAATCATTACTAAAAGAGAATGGGAATTTTGTTGATATTGTAGAAAAGTTTGCAGAAAATCATGTCCTTAGATTTAAGAGTGTTGATGACGTAAACTATAGTTTGAAACTTGAGAGAGTCCATGGAAATCAATCGCTTTCAACAAATACAAAGGTGATATCATGGTCACCTGAGATGGACATAGATTCAGTGCATAAACATCTTGAAGAATTGGGATTGTGGATCATTGACAGTGACTCTTCTTGCAAAGCTGTGGTCTGTCACCAATCTTGACATGATCACATACAACTCTTTCTTTCCTCCCTTTTCTGGTCAATTTTAATCTTTTAGCATAGTGTAGGCATATTGTTTTCTGTATGTAATTTTGTATGTTGATTACATATTCTTCTTGGTTTACTCTGGTTGTATACAAAATGTCAAAATCAGCTTAGGTTGCCTCTGTCCCAGTGTCGGGCCATATTTTGTTGATGTCTTGAGGATCATCTTGTAAAATTGAGTTAAAATATCATGAGTATCTATGAGATTATTCTTCAAAAATCTTTACATCTTGATAAATCATCAATATCATCTTGTTCGACATTCTATTTTGTGTATAATCAAGAAGTATCGCATGATACATTCACCTGCAGATGACAAATAAGGCTATCAAATGAACCTGATCCTAGCCTATCTTACGTATTTTGTCAAGTCTTGTACACATGCATTACAACTATTTTCTCTATCTAAAATTAGTTGTCACATTGTTCTAATTTTTGGTAAACAACCTGATTGATTTGACAAAAACATATCCTTTGTAATGGTCCTACACTCTTCCCATCACTTTAAGGGCATTGTCAAAATACTCATAAAATAAACTATTACGGAGTACTATTTTATGGAAAGTGACAACTTTTTCTGAACATTCTAGAATATTTCTCATGTGACTTTATGAAAAGTTTGATCACAATTCCCCTACTAAAAAAGCACAAACTTGATCACAATTCTGAACCCAGCTATATGCAGGATCTTTCTTGACCCCCCTTGATAACATGAGTTCCCTCACCCTTGTTGCCTCATCCCACCTTCCTGCTTCTGCAAGCATATTTGAGAGAAGCACATAGTACCCAGAATGATCAGGTTTTAGCACAAAGAGATGCTCAGTTGCCCATTTTGCTAACTCTATATCCCCATGGATTCGGGTAGCCCCTAGTAAAGCTCCCCAAATATTGGCATCTGGTTCAAATGGAAGTTCTCTGATAACCTCCACGGCTTCTTCCATTAGTCCTGCTCGGCCCAGAAGGTCAATCATGCAAGTGTAGTGCATATTTTTTGGTGTAATGCCTTTAGCCTTCATCTCTTCAAAGTATTTCTTCCCCTCATTAACGAGTCCTCCATGACTGCAAGCTGATAGAACAGCTATAAATGAAATAGAATCATGCTTCACAGTATCTTCCCTCATAGCTTCAAAAAGAGAGACTGCTGTCTCAAACTTTCCAAGCATTCCGTACCCTAAAATCATTGTGTTCCAAGAGGCAGCATCTTTTTTGTGAGCCTGCTCGAAGATATTCTGAGCTATCCCAATCTTTCCACACTTCATATAAAGATCCAATAGTGAATTGGTGATAAAATGGTGTGTGTGAAACAACCGTCTTATGATAAAAGCGTGAATCTCCTTCCCCGACTTCAGTGCTGCAGAATTTGCACAAGCTGAAATAGCACCTACAAAGGAAATTGTATCCCGCTTCATACCCATGGATCCCATCTCTTCAAACAAACTCAAAGACTTCAAGCATTCGGTAGTTTGTGAATAACCTACTATCAGTGTGTTATATGATATTTGATCCCTAGTGGAGATATCAAATACATTCTGCGCAAGGTCAACAAAACCACACTTGGCATACATGTCTATCAACCCATTGGAAAGAAAATTATCGGGAGCAACTCCCTTCCGAAGGCAATTGGCATGTATTTCTTTGCCTGAGGGAAGTGCACCTATTCGAGCACAAGCTGGTAAAATGTTTGTGAAGGTTACATCATTCGGAGTTTCACCAAAAGCCTGCATTCGTCTCACAAGTTCTAATGCAGCTAACTCATGGTTATTTTGAGCAAAATTAGCAACCATGGCATTCCATGTGACAACATTTTTCACTTTCATCCTTTCAAATACGCTAGAAGCCTTAGTGGAATCCCCTGCCTTTGCATACATGTCAATCAACGAATTTGAGATGAAGAGATCGGAATCAAAACCCATTCTAATAATAAGTCCATGAACCTCTTTTCCTGCATCAAAATACTCCAATTCTACAAGAACTGGCAGCAAACTCGACAATGTAACACCGCTTGGCTTCTCCTTTGAGTTAATCATCAGCCTAAACATATACAAAGCATCACTATAGCACCTAGCATGAGCAAAACTTGTAATAATGGTATTCCAAGACACACCATTCTTCTCAACAATTTCATCAAAAACTTGTCGAGAACTATCCGATTCTCCACACTTCCCATAACCATCAACCAGCGCATTGCCAACTCTCACTTGACAAATCAACCCGACCTTAACCACATAGCCATGTATCACCCTCGGAACCACCTCGTCCTTAAGCGCAGCACACGCCGGCAAAACACTCACAACACTAACCGCATTTGGCAAAAACCCAGACCATATCTTCATCTCCAAAAACACCTCAACAGCTTCCTTAGACCACCCATTATCAGAAAACACTCCAATCATACTATTCCACGAAACAACATCTTTCTCAGGCATTTCATCAAACACATTCTGTGCATCCCTCAAATCACAACAACTACTATAAAAAATCAAAAGGGTATTACCCACATACACAAGCTTATCAAATCCAACCTTAATCGAAAACCCATGAATCTCTCTACCCTTTTGACTCTCACAATGATCAGCACAAGCCTTGATTACAGAAGGAAAGGTATGATCATCAGGCCTAATTCCAATTCGAATCATATGATTATAAACATGAAAAACATCATAAACCCTAGCAATGGAATACCCTCGCAAAAGGGTATTCCATAAGAAGGGAGTTTTACAGTAAAACACAGAATTTTCGAAGAGAAATTTGCAGGAAACAGGGCTACCAAATTTGGCATAGTTAAGGATGAGAGAAGCACAGAGAGAGACGCTTGAAGGGAGAAAGCCGAAGACGAGAGCGAGGGCGTGGGATTGCTTGGTTTGATGAAGGGATTGCAGAGAAGAAAGGAGAGGGAGGAAATCAATGGAGTTTGGAGAGAGAAAATGGGGTTGTGATGGTTGAAGAGCTTTAGTGGCGTATGTTGAGAAGAGAGAGAAAGAGAGTGGTTTGGGGTTGAAGAAAGGGGAGATTACAGGGAGGAAACGAGCATGATTGAACATAGAAGATGGTGACTGAGGTGAGATTTTGTGGTAGATGGTTTTGGAGGGAAACAGAGGAACTGAAACGAATTTTGCATATTACGGAGTAATAAAATGAAGGCAAATAGCAAATAGAATGGCGCTAGGCCGGGCCAGTTCAAAATATGGCACGACAAAACACGCTAGAAGTGCTATAATTATTTACGTGTGTCCTAGACATGTAAGCACAATTGCACAAGCTACATAACACGGTTCAACACAAATGGCACTTAAGGCTTCTTGTGATTTGTTAAAATGAACTGAATTGATTGGAGCTAAATGAATTGTTTATAAAATAAGAAAATTATGATATGAGTTGAATTGAACTGAAATTATGCTGAAGAGAACAGACCCTTCAACTTGAGTCGTCTGCATAGGCTAACCTTTTGAAAATTTAGGCTCAACATCTATCTTGTGGTTCGGGTAGGAATGAATTAACCTAAAAGCATGGGCTTGACCTACAAGGGCTGCTATCATCTTTAATGGAAATTGTTAGAGATATCGGAAAATATATTTATCATAGATATCATTTAAGAGAATAATATATTTAACTAGGATATTTATGTTAAGATATTATTTTGAGAATATATCTTTAGGGTTTATGATTAGACGTATATCTTTTAGGAAGATTGTTTCCTATCTTATGAGCTTAGGTTTTGTATAAATACTCAACCTGTTCTTGAATAATAATCAAGTCATTCCATTCTCTCTTCTCCCTATTTTGTCATGGTATCAAGAGCGGGTTAGATCTTGGGAGTGTTCACAAAATTCTTTCCCCTGCCGGTGGGTTAGAATATTAAACCCACCGGTGGGATGAACCATTATCTAACAATAATTAATTTTTTTATCCCAAATATTAAAGGATCTTGTTTAATGCATGAATCTTGATAAATTGATCATGCGTGATTTTGTTCTATTGAGACTAGATTGTGGTTTGTGCTGCTTGCTCAAATTAATCATGAGATTTTTTGTGAGTTTGTGGAGTTAACGAGGTGATTGAGCGTTTAAGCTTGGACCTATGAAAACAAATCGGCTCTCTTGTGTCGTGAGACAAGATATATTTGGTTCTCCTTGTGCCGTGAGATAAGGTTTGTGAGTTGATTCGAGCATGATTTTGCTCCTTTGGATTTGAGTGTGGTTTACTCTGAAAAACCAATAAAAGATTTGAGTGTGGTTTACTCTGAAAGACCAAGAGATTTGAGTGTGGTTTACTCTGAAAGACCAAGAGATTTTTACTCTGAAAGACCAATAAGAAATTTGAGTGTGGTTTACTCTAAAAGACCAATAAGAAATTTGAGTGTGGTTTACTCTGAAAGACCAATAAGAAATTTGAGTGTAGTTTACTCTGAAAAACCAATATTTGATTGGAGCTCGGTTTTGCTTTGGGAAAACCAAAATTTGTTATATTTGCAGGTTCGAAAAGAATGACGTTCCTGTTTGATTGATGACTGATGAGTTCGAAAAGATGAACGTTCTCATCGTTGAAAAAGAAGAGACAAAAAATTGAAGGCGACATCACCAAAGAGTGCATCTCGACTTCAACAAAAGAAGAATTTCCAATCGCAACGTTCGTGTTACTGCCGTTACGATTGCGGGAGGGTGTTAGAGATATCGGAAAATATATGTGTCATAGATATCATTTAAGAGAATAATATATTTAATTAGGATATTTATGTTAAGATATTATTTTGAGAATATATCTTTAAGGTTTATGGTTAGACGTATATCTTTTAGGAAGATTGTTTCCTATCTTATGAGCTTAGGTTTTGTATAAATACTCAACCTGTTCTTGAATAATAATCAAGTCATTCCATTCTCTCTTCTCCCTATTTTGTCAGAAATGGATTGGATGTATGCCTTGTCCAATAAGATTCAAATCTGCCAAGCTTTTGAAAATTTAAGCAGGTCTAAATCAACTTCGAAGCACATAAGCCGGACATAAGGCAAATCATGAACATGACCCACAACCATCTTTAATGACAATTGATTGAATACATTTCTTGTCCGATAAGATCCAAATCTTGACCTAAACAGTTTTTTGGAGATATGCTCAATTTTTTTTACACGACCCGCAACCATTTTTAATGGCAATTGATTAGATGTATACCTTCTTCGGTAAGATTCAGGATTATATTTCTATAATAATATAGAGGTTTTTAATCTAGTC